TGATAAATACAAGAAAACCAGCAACGCGTCCAGGCCGAACTTCTTGGCTCCGCTGCCCAGTGAGATGGCCCAGCTCCGGCTGGGGGATGCTGCAGCAGAAAGCAGTGCCACAGAAGAAGCAACAGGACCATGCAGGCCTCTGCCGGAGGCTCCTCCAAATGGCATGGACTGTGGTACGAAGTGGGCCAAGGACTGCAAGGGGAAGGAGGCTGCTGAGAGCGGGGACCTGGCCTTCACTTGTGGCTATGAGGAGATCTCAGACCGGGATGTGGAAGAGAAGCCCAGCCTGCCACCCAGGAAGGAGTCCATCATTAAGTCAGAAGGCGAGTTGCTGGAGAGGCAGAGGCCTCCCCCCAAGCCTCCAGGCATGATTTTGCCAATGATCCCCCCGAAGCAGTCAGCAGCCCCAAAAGACAGCAAGAAGCCTGAGCTGAAACCTGAGAAGAGCAAACTCTTCCAGCTGAAGAATGAAATGGGGCTGGAATGCGGACACAAGGTGTCAGCCAAGGAGGTGAAAAAGCCAAACCTCCGGCCCATTGTCAAGCCAACCAAGCCAAAAGCTGAGCCTGCAGAGGACAAGCCTGAGCCAATCACTCAGAACCCCTTCTTGAAGTCAAGACCTCAAATCAAGCCCAAACCCGCCGCAGCCCCTCGGACTGACCCTCCTCCAGCTGATGACAAACTGGACATTTGCAGCCTGCGGAGCAAGCTGAGACCTGCCAAGTGCCCAGAGAAGCCCGCTGAGCAGGACACCACCGCCAGCGAAAGCTCCTGCAGTAACCCTGCAGTTGCCCCAGAGGCTTCTGGAAGGTTTCAGGAGCGACCAAGCATAGAGAGCAAAGCCCTTCCCAAATGCCCCCCAGGCCCAGCTGTTGCCCTGGCTGCCCGAGAGCCCACACCGCAGCGCCCGGTTGTGCCGCCCCGCCGGCCTCCGCCACCCAAGAAAATGACGTCTCCTGTTGCTGGCCCCGCGCCTGAAGCCAGGGCATCCCCGCTGCCAGGGAGGCCCATGCTGGTTCCCCCCAAAGCCAGGCCCTTCCTGTCTGCTGCCATCCAAGACGAAGCCAAAGCGAAAAGCAGCATAGGCCCAAAGGTAATATCCAAAGTGGTGGAGAGAGGGGAAGGAAGGGAGAGGACGTCAGCCCCCTTCTCCAACCCAGATGTCTCCAAGGAAGCTCTCTACGTGGCAGTGGCGGATTTTGAGGGTGACGAGGAGACCAACAGCTTTAGAGAAGGGACTTTGTTTGAAGTGCGTGAGAAGAACAGCAGCGGCTGGTGGTTCTGCAAGGTCCTGACTGGGGGGCCCTGCTGGGAGGGCTGGATCCCTTCCAACTACCTGCGGAAGAAGCCATAGCCTGTCCTGTTTACACGGTTGGAGGTTCCCTGTTCTCCCACCTATTTAATTAGAGTCTTAATTTATAGTTTTCCGTAAGGCTGGCTTTAAAAAATAATAATTGAAATCCCATACATTCCAGCTGATGCCCCTCTCCTGCCCCGAGCTCCTGCTCTCTCTTGGCCTGGCATAGCAGCCCTACATGTGGGGTACAGTGGCCAGCACAGTTCTCCATGCTGGGGAGAGCCTTGGTAGATGGGTTTTGCCACCTGTACAGGGAATTCAAGAAGCAGCAGCGGCCAGGGAGAGAAACGCAGCTTGGTTTGGTATCAGTGAAGGAAATGTGGCCTCATGGATGGATTTGCTTTTCAGTGAGGCTCAGGGTCATGATTGAATGTTGTATGTTGTATTGCTTAATCCAAGTGTGTAGCAGAGTCGTACAAGGGATGTGGCAAATGGGGGGGACTGTTGCTCAGAACGGTCTGTCCCCATAGCCCTGCGTGCATTTGCAGACATGAATACACGCTGGAGGCACTCTGGGCTCTGCCTTGCTTTCCCCTGCACATGCATTGGACAGTCCCATGGTCTCTCCCCATTCCACAATGACAAGTGTTAACTTAAACATCCTCCTGGTGGGAAAAAAAGAAGGAAAAAGAAAAGAAAAAAATGCGCATGAACACATACAGCAAGTCCTCTTTGCAGACTGTACCTTGCCATGTTACAGCCAAACAACAAGAGGTGTTTTGCTTCGGTAGCTGAAGAATACTATGCAACACACAGAGGACCACGATGACCCCAGAATCCCTGGAAAGAGGATGCTTTGTTTCCCTTCTGACACAGACTGCACTGCCTGTTGGACTAATAGGGGACCACCTGTTCCCATGACCCACTGAGCTTCCCAGGGCTGGCAGGCAGCAGCCAGGTGGGTCTTCCAGTAGGTGCTGATCTTATCAAGTGCAATCCGGAATGTGGGAGCTCAGCTACTCATCGCATCCAGTTGTGAGGTGTGGCTGGTGCTCAGGTGCTCCCTCCTTTGTCACCCCAGCTTTCTGTCCTCCTGTCCACAAGTGCTTTCAGCTCACCCTGTGTGTTGGTTGGCTCTGGGGGCATCAGGTCAAACAGAGCGGGTTTTATTTCCACACTGACACTGCTGCCTGCTGGGCCTGATCCTGCTGGCAGTGGTGTGTGTCCCAGGGGGAGGATTAAAGTGGTCTGCTTGGCTGCCTCTTCTTTATGCCACTTTCTTCTCTTGCAGATTCAGAGCCACGTTTCTTTCTTTAGAAGAGCTTCATGCCCTTTGCTTCGGTGGGTTTGTGGTTGACCAAGCCTATGTGCCCTTGTTATTCTAATTGCAAGGGGAAGTGCTGCAGATGCAGCTCTGCAGCCACATTGTTTGGCTGCTGAAAACAATAAATGTTCTCCTTTTAATTTGAGGTTGGTGGAATTGAAGACAGTCTGCACGCCAGAGCCATGCTACTCCCTCCCCTGTGCACCTTCTGCCTTCCCATGTCCTGTGCTTTCTGCGCTGGAATTGTGGACTTAAAGATACATCTTTGTATATGCAAACTGGGCAGGGTTGCACTGGGAAGGTGATGGTTCATCCCAGCCCCACTGTAGCTATAGGGAAGCCCTCACCATTCCAGCAATGCCAGAAGCCCAAAGGTGCATTTAGGTTGCAACCTAACCCAGTAACAGGTCCCCATTAGGAGGTGTTGGTGCGTTCCCTGGAGAGTTGCACAGTGGGTTGGGGAAGAAATGCTGCCTTTTCTCTGCTCCAGTAAAACTCTTTTGCTGTGGCAATGAGGGGGGCCAGGCTGAGATAAGGCAAAGCAGCCCAGCTGAGCCATGTGGGACATAGGTCCACATCCCCTCTGGCTGCTGGCAGTCACAGTGGGGTGAAAGCAGTGTGCCCTTGTCCCAGGACGGCAGATCCTTGCTCCTTCTGTGCTGAATGTCCTAACCCCTGAAATGGCTCCACTTTCTCTGCCTCGTCATCGCCCTCACTGATCCCACTGTTCCTCACCAAGAACAATCCTCTTTCTGTTGCTTCTTTCTGTTGCTTCCAGCCTAAATGAGGGCTATTTCTGCTTTCCTCCCAGCCTGGGCCTCAGAACTCGTCCTGCTTCATTTTACTGACACAAGTACTGTATTGGGCTCGTTGAGCACATGACAGCATCAGTCTTTTGTTTCCAAAGATCTTCCCAGCATCACAGAGGTGTCATCCTCGGTGTGACAGGGGCAGCAGGACCCTTACCCCTTCCTGCCGCTCTTCTGTCTGCAACGGCACAGGAGCCCCAGCAGGAAGGTGCCACACAGGTGTGCCAGCCCTCTGTGCTTCCATCTGGCGGTACCTTGTGGGTGCTGAGCCCCCGACTGCCTCGTGAGGAGGAGGAGGTTGGCCAGTGGTACTCAGGCATCTCAGCGGGGGGATGTGGGGAGCTGGGGGAGAGGGCTGGGGGCGCCAGCTCAGTCTCACTCGCTCTCAGTGCGTCTGCCCAGGTCTCGCTGTACGATGTAAGCGTGTATAAATCTGCATTACTGTGGGCGGGTGGGGGTGGCAGCGGAAGATAGATGTAGCTGTGTAAGTGCCGTATCTATACGTTCACCATTAGGGGTTGGGTTTCGTGGGTTGGTTTTTTTGTTGTTGGTTGATTTTTTTTATTTTTATTTTTTTTCATTCAGTGGGGTTTGGAAGTTTGGTTTTTGTTTTTTTTTTTTGTTTTGTTTTGTTTTTTCAATTTTAATTTTTTTATTTTTTTCCTTTTTTTAAGAAATAAAAAGAAACTGCTTGACTGGTTTCAAGCACCCCTGTGACCCCGTCTCTGCCTGGTGTGTGTCTGTGCTGCTCCTGGGCCCCAGCTCTGCATAGGGACTGCTCTGGGCACTGCACACGATGTCCTGTAGGTGTAAGGGCAGGGCAAGGGTGGTGACATCCAGGAGCCTGAGCACAGGCTTTTGTTTCACCATCCTCACACCCGAATGCTCTGGGGGCAGTGTGTGTATGTGGCCGTATGAATGGTAAGGAAAATGCCTTCTGGCATTGTGCACATGCTGTGCTTGGTCAAGGGGCCTTGGGGCAGGCTGTCACTACAGGATGAGGCAAGTACAGAGGATAGGAAAAGGCAGGGGCCCTGGATGCCCTCCCCAGGAATCACACAGATGTGGTGCAAGCTCTGAAATTTGCAGCAAGAGCCTGCTGGCATCTCACAGGCATCAGTCCCCCTCCGCAGATAAGACTGGGCAGCACAGGCTATGAAGAAGCATTCAGGCACCCATAGCCATCATCAGCTTCCTTCACCACCTGCAACTCATAGGAGTTGGAATGCAGACAGTTCAGTGTGGCTATGCCCTTGCCAGCACACAGTTATGAATGAATTGACCCACTCTGCTGCAAACCACATCAGAGGCTGCTGGCCTGCTGTCTGCCTGCAGCTGCCACAGGATACCAACAGCTACAGTGCATGCTCCTGTGCCTCTCTGTTAAATACAGAGCAGCTCTGCAAAACGTAAAGAACAGAAAGAAAGAGCAAGAAGCCCCAGCAGCCCAGTGTGCAGCCCTATTGGTGTGGCTGCAGCAGGATCTGCCCCTGGGCTTAAGGTGCACTGGGCTGATTACTGCAGTGATCTGCCAACTTCTCTACAGTTTGAAATGCAAGGCAGCCCTCTGTACTTGCCAAAGTTTTATTTGTTTCATAAACGAGTAAAATTATATTAATGTAAAACAGGTAAATGGACAAAAATAAAACACACACGGCACTGATCACAAGGCTACAGAGTATTGACATGTAGAGGTGCAGCTCCCCCCCGTGCGTCCCCCCCCCACCCCAGTCCCAATGAGTTGCTTGAGAAGCTCAATGCAGAGGTCCAACATCTGAGTCAGCTTCAGCATGTTGTGCAGATCACAGGACTGAATCATAAAGGAAGCAAGAGTAACTGCCTCAGAAGGGGAAAGGAAAGGGGTTCCCCTCACTCTGCTGTTTTTTCCCCCCCTCTCTTCCTTTTTCTAAGAAAGAAAATGAAATCAACAGGAGCAGGGGGAAAAAAAAAATCAATGGAAATTAACACTATTTTGCTACTATATATATATATGTATATATATGTAACTTCATACACACACATATATATATATATAAATACAAAGCAGGCTTCTTGGTGAACACAAAACTCTACAACACTACCATTGATCTGTGTTATGTTCTCCCCGTTTTATTTTAAAAGTTGTTTTTAAAAAGGATAAAAAGTGCACAGACACCCTTATAAGGCACAAACAGCTCTTCTGTACAAATCATGTATCATCGGACTGTTTAAAAAAAATAGCAATACGAGTACTAACGATTAAATCTGTTAAAGGCTGCCTTTTCCTGGAACTCTTTTTGAGGGGCCTCTGCCACTGCTTTCAAAAAATCCCTGTTGCTCTCTGGCAAAGCCCCCACTGCTGCCTGTTACCCCCTGTGCTGGGTGCTGGCTCTACTCATCCCCCCCAGCAGCTCACTGCTTGCTGGTGCTGCCCACCTGGAAATCAATCGCAGCTGCAGCAGCAAAAACCACCCCTCTGCAATCTGCTCAGCTGGTAATTTTTGCCATTTCTCCTTGCTGGCTTAAAATATAAGAGCTGCACCAAAAAATGAACCAGGTGTGCAGTCAGCCCTGCTTGTTGAGGACCTGAGGTGCCAGCCAAGCAACTGGGCTACATGCATCATTGCAGCTGAATGCCAGCTCCAAACAGAGCAGGCAGCCCTGCAACAGGGAGTGTGGGGGCAGCCAGTGGCATCTGTTAGTCCAGTGTGATCCCAGCCAGCATCATTTGCTGTGAATTCAGCTTTCCTTGAGCTCCTCCTCCTGCTAAGAGTTCCCCCTGCAGCCCATGCACAGCAAGGGCACAGGGCAGCCCACCTGGCCAGGTGTCACCCAACAGCCCCAGCTGTGCAGGCAGGCAGCCTTGAGGTCATCACTGCAACACTTCAGCTACTGGAAAACACCTTGGCCTCTTGATTATGCAACGGTGGTGCTGTACAGGCAGGGATGAGCCACGTTTCCCAAAAGGGCTCTGCAATACCAGCAGGCACTCGTGTCAGTGAAGCAGGACAGTGGCTGAGAAATGCCATTTTAAAGCAGCCTCTCATCTATACACTTAATTGAAATGCTCATTAGCTCTTTAAGTTTTAAAACAAAAAAAGTTTCCTCTATGCCCTGCCTGCTGGGTGTATGTAGGACAGCTCACTGCCCCCAGGGAGAGAGAGAGCAGCCCCACAGCCCCCACTGGGCAGCATGGCCAGGCCACCAACAGCAGTAGCAGCAGAGAGTCAGCAGCACACCCACAGCATGGAGGGACAGGAGCATCCCTCTGCACTCAGCGGCCCTGCAGCACATGGGTTGCTTTTCTCCATTTTTGGATTGAAATGTGGTAACTGCACTTTTCTTACTCACTTGGTGGCACACAATCATTGAGCTAGAATGACATCAGCCCCTCTTTCAGCCTCTGGTTTGCATCATGAAATGCAGCCAGGCCTGAGTCTTGTGTGGGAGGAAGCCTGCAGGGGGACAAAGGATAGGGGAGCTCCTGTGGGAGCGTCAGGGAGGACACCAAGCCCTGCACAGACCCACTGCCTGCCCATACACTTCCCTCCTCCTCTAGATTGCTGCTGCTCATGGCTGTCTAACACCACAGCTGAAATCCATTTACCTTTTAAGTCTAATAATAGCCTCAGAGCCTTTCCTTCCACCTCCCCTGCAAAGCCAAGTTTGATCCCTATTCATCCCAATGAGTTCTTGCCTGTGGCTGAAGCCTCTCCTGGCAGCCAGTGTGTGGGCAGTGGGAGCTGTGCTGGGAAATCCAGAGAGGCAGAAGAAAAATGGCACAGTGCCCAGAAAGAAGGTGAGCCCACAGGGACTGGGGAAGGATAAGAGACATGAGCCAAGCAGGTCCCTATGAGACCGCAACTGCCCCATGCTGGGAGGAGCAGAGCAAAACCTGGGCCCTGTTCCACCAAAAAAAGCAAGAGCTGCTGCAGCCAAGCCAAAGGAAGCAGCTCCTCCACATGCCCCAGCAGCCTGCTCAAAACCCAAACAAATGACAGTCTAGTTGTGCTACTATTTTGGCCTTTGCTTGCTCCCCTTAAATGGATGGGTATTAAATTTTCAGATCAATTTTGTCCACTCCAAACCCTCCCACTGGGCCACATTCTAATTTTGCTCCACCACAGCACCAGCAGCACAGAGTTGTCTGAGCTCTGGGGCTGGGCAATCCAGCAGCACCCAGCGAACGGCAGCATTCCCTCCCAACCCACATCACATCAGCCTCATCCTCTGGAGGATAAAAAAGCTTGGCACAGGGAATTTCCCATCTGCAGCTGGGTCGGATTCCTACCGCAATTCACTCTGTGGGCACACAGCCCAGCAGCACTGCCCCATGTGATCCTTATCTCAATTTGATCCCTGAATTATGCCCTACCAATCAAATAAGGAAACACAGATAACGAGCCACTTGATTACAACTGACCAGCACGATAACCCATAAGCAGGGACGGAAAGGCATGGTTACTGCTAGCGGCGGTCTCCCTTCCCAAGCCCAAGCCGGGCGCTACGGGCGGTAAATCTTAATTACATCTTTGATGACCCGTCGGCAGATGGGGCAGCAGGCGTTGAGCTGCTTCTTCAGCTTAAGACCACAGGTGTTGCAGAGGCACATGTGTCCGCAGGTATAGATCACCGTGTCCACCTCGCTGTCAAAGCAGACGGTGCATTCCCCGTTCTTGCTGCTGGATGGCTCCGGAGGGGGGAAGACAGGAGAGACAGGGGGGCTCAGGGGAGAGCTGGGAGCAGTCACTGGAAGAAGGAAGAAGAACAAGGTCATTCAGTCACAAGTGTGCACACTTGATATTATACTACATGTGGGTATGAGTGATGGATCGACGGTTGGACTAGATGATCTCAGTGGTGTTTTCCTACCTCAATGATTCTGCGACCATTCCCAGGTCTATATTTTAGGCCCTTCTTTCTATAGCCTTCCCCACACATGGCCCAGCATCCTTCACCAGCCAGTATCCACAACCCACTGTGCTGCCCACCCGGCAACCCTGCGCTAAGCCCTCCTTACCGAGCGAAGACTCCGAGGCAGACGATGACCTGTTGACACTGAAGGCCATGTCAGAGTCGCTGTCGTACTGTGAGCCACCGGGGGACCCTGAGGGTGAGACGGTCACTGGGCTGGACTGTACAGTGCCTGCAAGTACAGGAGAGGACTCAGCCCCCTTGGGACAGAGGGACACATGGACACACAGAGCTGAGCCCCATGGTGAGCTGATACCAACCCACAGCACCAGAGCTGCCCTCACAAAACCCACTGCTCTTAACAAAGGCAGGCGTCTAACACCTGTTGGCTGGAACCATGGGCTTATAAAGAATCTTCTTTACACACAACTCTGAAAACTAGTCACATGCACACACAGCTCTCCTGGCTTCCTTACATGCTGTTCATTTTACCTCTTAGATCTCAGCCCTTCCTGGAAGGTTCACAAAGGCATCTCTGGCAGTGACAGCTGCCATGAGTTGCTCCCTCCTGCTCAGCAGCACAAGGTTGGGTCAGGAGCTGCATATGCTCATCACTGATCACCTTACACAGGCAGGTGACCACAGCCCATAGCTCTCTTTTACCAATCAGGTGCTCCCTGTTATTCTGCCCTTCAATAACTTACCCAGTATTTTGAGCTGGTTGATTACACCATGGATTGTAAAAAACACCCAGAGAGACTGCGAGGTATCCACGCACATCAGCATGCCGCGGCTTGCTCCATTCACCCCATGGTGCACCTCGCCGTTTGGCAAGACCGTGAAATTGAGGATGTCACCTCCGCTGAAGACCGGGAAGGCCCGGAACACCACCCAGTACTCTTTGCGGTCCAGGAGAGAGTCCGGATCTGCTGGGAGCTCGTTTGTCCTTAAAGTACTCGGATCACAAGAAGTGATGCCAAACGAGAGGGCCCCGTAGTATGGCAACCCAAGGTGTCCCACTTCCACAAACAGGCTCTCGCCAACGTGCAAAGGGCGGTCAGAAAACACCAAAGTCCTATTGCTCTCTTGCCAGTTGGTGCAGGCGACCATCCGGTCCTGGGAAAAGGTGATGTCAGGTCCATGGGTGGGGTGAAATCGCAGGTCTGTGTCCAGGAAGGCCGGGACCCCCTGCACACGCAGCCGCCGGTTGGGGCAGCAGGGGATGATGTGGTTGTCTGTCACAAGTCCCGGCACCCGGCTCAGGTTTAGGTTTGCTATTTTGGCCACCACTTGATTATTCTCCAGTTCATTGTTATTGAAGTTGGCCGAGTCGTGGTTGCTCTGGGGAAGGCAAGAGCTGAGACGGGCGGTGTTGAGACGGGCAGTGGTCTCTGCAAACATGCTATCTGTGAGATAAACCCAGCAACAAGGGGCATCAGAAACAGTTGGCTACTTTTACCACTACTTGTGTTGTTACTCCAGCCTATGGATGACCTGAGTTCTGTTCCTCCAAATAGAAAAACAATGGAAAAATCAGATAGAGGTCAACTGCTGGCAAACAGAGCACTCATGGGGAGCAGGCAGCAAGCAGAACAGCTGCATTTTGGCACCAGCTGAGGTGTTGTGAAATACTCATCTAATCTGGGAGCTCCTTGTACTGGTGAGCCAGGAGAAGCTGCAAACTAGCATGGTCCTCCAGCTTTCTTATGTCTAATACCTTTGAGAATACTTTTTAAAGGAAGAAATACCTCAATATCCCAGTATCCAAAAGTCTTTCGTAAGCCAAGTCTGCAACACAGTGATGGGTGAAGGAGTGGAGGAATCAGTGTGTATTTATTTTGCATGTCTTGTTACCTTATGACAATGACATATGTAGGCACTGGTGTGTCTAAGAGAGGTCATTCTACAAAAGCATTTCAAGCCTCATACCTCAGGGCACAGCACTGCAGAGACTTTGAATCACAACACTAGAATGTGATGGAAAGTACCACAACAATAGCATGGTGGCAAAGTCTTCAGCTACAGCAAATAAGAACGAACTCAGTTGCAGCAGCCATGGACACAGAAATACAGGAAAAGAGCCGCTTACCTTCAGAAGGCCTCAGGTAGGCAGGGATCTCCAACAAGAGATGCCCTCACCTCCACTGCCAACCCTTAAATGAGGTCTGGGATTGCTGGCTCCATCCCTTCTGGTCATTCAGCTGCATTGCATGCACCTGAGCTCCACTGGGTTGGCCCTGCCTTCCCACCAGGTGCTCAATCACTGCTTCAGGCCATGACTCAGTATTTCCACTACAAGAGTTTGTATGATAGCTCCTTGCTGCTGATGTCAGAAAGAAGATTTTTTACAATAAGAGTTGTTTTCCCCTTTTACAGCAAAGGTCAGGTCAGGATGATGACTCTTAAATCATTTCTTCACCTTGGCCATGCCAGGCCCAGGGGGGATTTCAGGATTTGAGGAGGTTCAGGAGTTGTCTTCCTTCTCCATGCCACCTGAAGTGGCATGAAATGCTTCCCCAGAGCTGCAAGTCACATCTAAGCTTCATGATGCTGAAAGATACATTTTATGCATCTGTATGCTGGCTGCATTTCACAGCTTTCTCAACTTTCAGGATTTGGGGAGGAGGAGTCAGAGAGATGAACAGGTCCGCTAAGGCACCACCACATCTGGAGGGAGGAAGATGCATCTTCTGGTGCCCAATGGCTCAGCATCACCCTGATGTCTGGGACAGTTTATGGGGCTTGGCATCCTGATCCAAACCAAAGCAGAGCACAGGTGCCCCTGGCACAGGCTTTTTCTGTGCACTCTGCCTCCACAGGCAGGATGGAGTGAAAGCAGAAATAAGCAGCACTTTATTTGTCTAACTATAACCTACTGAGGAAGAAGGGCTGCTCTGGTGAAGCAGCTGCATTGGGCAGAACAGCAAACACCTCCTCACCTCTTTGATGAGCACCAGAGGCTGGAGAGTGTCATGGTTGCAATTGCAAGATAAGCTACTGGAAAGGTTTAATTACACATTTGAGACAGAGCAGGCAAGGGCAAAGTGTTGTTTTTGCGTAACTTTCTCAGCTGTAAAATAATTGGTACCATTCTGAAGAATCTGTCAGAGCTGCCTGCCCCTAGACTAACCATTTTGCAGCCTGCAGCTGGGACCTGGCTGTAAAGCAGCACCATGTTTTTCCAAATCATAGTAGCACATCTAGCTCCGTACAAGCTGAAGAAAGCTACATGTAAAGATTTACATCTAGCCCATCACATGGCTGCTGTGATGTACAATGGAGATTTAGATTAGGGGTCAGAGGGTGGTGAGGCACTGGCACTGCTGCCCAGGGCTGTGGTGCACCATCCCTGGAGGTGCCCAAGGCCAGGTGGGATCGGGTCCTGCACAGACTGATCTGGTGAGAGGCAACCAGCCCAGGGCAGGGGTTGGAAATGGGTGTTCTTTGAGCTCCTTTCCAACCCACCACATCCTGTGATTCTATGACTCTTAGGACTTTCCATGACTGATTTCTCTGAAATGTCCTGTTTTCTGCATCCCACACCAAAAGAAAAATCATTAATTTGATGAACAAAACCGATCAGAAATTAGTTGTTGATTAAGAAGTAATCAACCAGATAAACCACGCATTTGTTTTCCACGAAGATGATGCTGTGGAAAGAGCAAGCAGAAGAGCAAGCCACGGGCCAAAGACACACTTACCTAGTATTTGCACTTCGTGGGTAATTCCATAGACATCTATGAGCGCCCAGAGAGGACCGGAGACTTTAATACCACAGTGAAACAATATCGGCTCCTCGTCATTAATACTGTAGAAGACTCTCCCGTGACGGTCAACCCAGAAGGCCAAGACATTGTCCCTGACAGCAAACCTTTCTGGCAGGGCTTTGGCCCAGTAGCCGGGCCGGGTCACCAGGTCTGGGCAGGCGTACTTTGGTATGTCGTCAGAGCTCATCTGCGACGGGTCGTGGATGGTGAAGCCGAAGCGCAGGGCCCCGCTCCAGCCGTGGTGCACAGCCACCAGCTTCAGCCGCACCTTCTCGTAGACGTGGATGGGCCGGTTGGTGAAGGTGAGCCCGTTACAGAAGCTGTTCCTCCGCGTGGCCCGTCGGGAATGGGCGTCCAGCCGCACGTTTTTGCCCTTGGCGTGGGAATGGAAGCGCAGCGGCTCCGTGACGGTGAGCACTGAGCGGCGCTCATGGCTGCTGTTGGGCAAGCTGTAGTAGGGACGGCTGGAGACCGAGCGGGTCTGGTGGCCTGTGTCTGCAAAGGGAGAAAACAGCAGTCTGTCAGAAGGACCTGAGCGTAGCCGTGTGTTGGCCTTGAAACTCCATTACCAGCCTTTCCCGGTCTGGTGCTTGGCACTATGTGCTGGGAACGACAATACTTTTAAAATCACAGAACTGAATCACAGAATTGTAGGGGTTGGAAGGGACCTCCAGAGATCATCGTGTCCAACCCCCCTGCCAAAGCAGGTTCCCTACAGCAGGTCGCACAGGTCGGCATCCAGGCAGGTCTTGAACATCTCCAGAGAAGGAGACTCCACCACCTCCCTGGGCAGCCTGTTCCAGTGCTCCGTCACCTCACTGTAAAGAAGTTCTTGCGCACATTTGTGCAGAACTTCCTATGCTGCAGTTTCCAGCCGTTTCCCCTTGTCCTGTCTCCACTTACCACTGAAAACAGTCCGGCCTCGCCATTCTGCCCCCCACACCTTAGATATTGATAGACCTGGATCAGGTCCCCTCTCAGTCTTCTTTTCTCAAGGCTGAACAGACCCAGTTCACTCAGCCTTTCCTCATAGGAGAGATGCTCCAGGCCCTTCACCATCTTCGTGGCCCTCCGCTGGACTCTTTCCAAGAGATCCCTGTCTGTTTTGTACTGGGGAGCTCAGAACTGGACGCAGTGCTCCAGATGAGGTCTTACCAGGGCAGAGCAGAGGGGGAGGATCACCTCCCTCGACCTGCTGGCCACACTCTTTTTAATGCACCCCAGGATGCCATTGGCCCTCTTGGCCACAAGGGCACACTGCTGGCTCATGGCCGACCTGTTGTCCACCAGGACACCCAGGTCCCTCTCTGCAGAGCTCCCCTCCAGCAGCTCATCCTCCAACCTGTACTGGTGCATGCAATTATTCCTCCCCAGATGCAAGACTCTACACTTGCTTCTGTTAAACTAGTTTGGCCCTCTGCTTTGTGCAGATATAGAGTAAATGTGGCTCTTGGGTGGAAAGGTTCACAGCTTTCCTCTACACCCTGCAAAGCTGGACAAAAAACTTCCTTTTGTTCTCATTGAATGCATCCGACTGCATTCGGAAAGGCCTGATACTTTCAACTGCAGTTCCCCATTTCCTATGTAAAATGCACGTGTTGTTAAATCATCATTCCAGCTGGCTGGTGCCAGATTCGCACAATCTCTGAGAATCTTGCTTGTTAAGATCAGAGATGTTCAACATGAAAGGCATAAGGAAAATTTTTGTGGGATGTGTAGCCACTGGCTTCTCTGCCCCTTAATTTTGTAATGATGAACAGGAGCTTTTGAGCAACACAAACAAACCAAGACATTTAGCAGCTGCAGGACTACCTCTACATCACCAGAGTGTTCTTCCAAAACTTTCAGCCCAGCCCTTGGTTCAGATATCAGATCCAACTGGCACAGGAAGGAACATTTCATCCCGCAAAGGCTCGCCTTTACACAGAACCTCCCATTTAAGCTCAAAGCACTTCATAAACCATGATTGTTTGCAGCTTCGCAGCACCACAGATGGCACAGAGATCCTGCCATCCTCCTTTTACAGATGGAAGAATTTATGGGTGAGATCTCGCAGCGTTTGAAGTCAATAGCAATTTCGAGACCAATTTCAAGAAAAGCAGATCTGGGGCCTAAAGTGAAGTTCAGACAAGCGTGAAGCAGAAATGAAAAAAGGAACACTTTCAGTACTGAGCCCTAGCTGTACGTTCCTGGAGGCTGAGACCTTTGTTTTGCACATCCTGAAAGCAGGTCTCTGCTCTGGGACACCCATAATCACCACCACGGTGTCACCACCACTTTGGTCTCCTCTCTCTCTCACTCCCCATCTTCTCTTCTTTGCAGATTTTTAAAGCAAAAACGAATGGCATCCTGGGTGCTCAAAGTCACGCTATTAAATATAGCACCACATCACACACACACAGCCCTTTTGAGACTTTTTGCCACGTTTGAAGCTTCAGAAAACTCCTGCCTGGCCCTTCCTTCAAGCTGCTTCCTCCCTGTGTGCAGCCCCTGGCTTTGCTGTGGGACAAGGGAAGGATTTTCTGACGCCTTCCTCTCATGGGAAGGAACATCCAAAGACACCAGGAGCTCAGCTGGGAAAGCTGACAGGGGAGCTGGGCTAGGGCACCTTGTTAGCAAGCAACACCAACTACAGAGGTGAGAGGCTCCTGTTGCCACTGAGCTCAGTGGGGCACTCCTAAATTATGACAGGCAAATGCAGTGGCTAAATAAAAGCTCTTTTGTGTTCTCCTCATTCAAATTGCATGTAACCATGGCTGCTTAACACAAGGTAATGGTTAATCCCATCTGCACGCTCATGTAAATAGATGCATCCCTACCCTAATGCCAGTAGGTGATTTGCCACTGCAATGCCGAGGACAAGGAGTCCTGGGTCAGATGGGCAGGGGAGCCCATGGCTATGGCCATCCTCACACAGAACCTTCTCCACAGCACAGGGCAGAGCAGGAGCCCCCAGGAGAAATCCCCCTCGTCTGCTCTCACCCTGCCAGCAAGGAACTTTGGGACAGGGTTTGAGGATTTTTTTGTTGTTTGTTTGTTGTCAAAACAGGAAAGCATATTGTGACTGAACAATAGGAAAATCTCCAGAAGGAAATGAAGGGATCATTTATTTATAACGACGTTCCCCCCGCACGAACACCTGTCTGCTGCCACCAGCAATACAGCCTGACACAACGCGGGGCAGCCAGGCATGGCCTGCCCTCTGCAGTGTGCTGCCATGTGTTTTGCTCATCGTGTCCCGTGGGGGCCAGCCAGCCCAACAGGATGTTTGTGCACTGGGATTGCCCTCATTTCCCAGTTCGCATCGTGTTTCAGTACTGCTGCTATTTCTCCAGCCTCCCCTCTCTGACCTCAACACGGGGTAATGGGGACCAACACAACCATATCTACTTATCACACATTTGAAGGCCCTGCACCTTCTTTCCAGAAGCCCAGCGCACTTATTTCTTAGGTTGTGCTGACCTTTGGAGAGGGTTTTTAATAAACATGCACTTTGCATTTCAGAAAGATACGGCGGTCAGTACAGTACCCCATCGCTGGAAGTGCCCAAGGCCAGGTAGAATGGGGCCCTGGGCAGCCTGATCTGATGGGGGACAGCCAGCCCATGGCTGAGGTTGGAATTGGATGGGCTTTAAGGTTCCTTTTCATCCATTCCATGACTGCATGATTCTATGAAAGGCTGATGTATTCAGGTATGGGACAGAGGGCAGCCCCAGCCCGGCCCCATGGGCATGGGGCAGCCAGTGGAGAAAGCAAGCTAGCCCCAAAGCAAGGAGAGGAAGACAATGATCTGCATTTCCAGTCTGCTCCAGGTACATCCCATGTTGCCTTAACAGTACAACCACTGCATCACGATGCATTTGCTGGGATCCTTCTGAGTAAATCCATGACAAATGAAGCTTGGGATCACAGGGGAAGCAAGTGATGGGTCAGCAGGTACCCAACAGGAATACATGCTGGAGAAAGCAAGGATGTGAAGGGGACAGAAAGCACTGCTACTACACAGCTCACCAACATGCACGATCAACCCGTGTTGTTCATGCAAGGAGAGAGAAAAGGCTGAAGGGTAGCAAGAAGCACAAAATCCATCCAGTAACGCTCACCGCACAAGCAAAAGGGAAAGCAGCCAGTGCACCGTGCCTTATCTTTATGGTCGCTGCTTTATCAGTAACATCAAGACTTTTTCCTACTACAGTAGATAGGTCGCTGCTACAACAACCCTGTTGAACATTAAACAAGGCTTCTGGAGAGCAGGGCAGGTGGCTTTTTCTTTGAAACAGGAATAATGCTAACAGGTGGGGAAAAGGCAGGCAAGCTTAATGCCCCTACTGCACACCTATAGAGCCACTCTCGTGGACCTAACAGCATCCATGCACAACCCTGGTCCTGCTGCATGCTGCTGCAGAGCCCCAGCAGCACGCTGCCATGGCAGGATCTTATCTGCTCAGTACAAGAGATAAAATCTGGTCACCTAAAAATGTAGTGCATGGACTTTTTTCTTTTTTTTTTTCTTTTTTGAATACAGAAAACGTGTCAAAGCTCTCTGGGAAGTGCTGGGTTTCCCATGTTCCACACTCAGCCATGTGCACGTGTAGCTGGGCTCCCAAAGGCACTGTACGGCTGCTGCACAAAACCAGCCCGGCTTCCAAAACCCTGACTGATTCCAGCGTGCACCAATTGGAAAATGCAACCATACAATTAATAAATATCCCCACTGGAATTCCTGTGGTTTGCATGAACAGCTCAAAGCCCTGTGCTGACAGAGGTCTCAGCCTCCCACCAGTTACTCTGATCCTTTTCTACAGGCAGCAAACACGGGCAGGGAATGTGCCAGAGCCCTGCAGAGCCACCAGCGTGTACTTCAAAGTTATTTCTAAGGCGGCGAGGCCCTGGTGCTGCTGCCCAGAGCTGTGGGTTCCCCATCTCTG